TATTACATTCTTGTGGACTAGAATTCCTTTATGACATAAACCGTTTCATATTATTTAGCCTAAAAAATAAATTGGGTGTGGTTAGGTTAATGTGAGATGTTCTTATACAAAAATCATTATGTGCAATTTCTGTTAAATCCCCTAAATCTTCTAATTGCGTTTTCATTTGACTGAAGTATCAGACAAGCGGAGCTCCCGTCTTTTTTTTCTATATATCATTTATGTTTCAGTGATTTCTGAAGTCAGATCTTGTACTAGGTTGAAAAGTTTCTAATGTGAAGAATCTTGTTTTGCAGTGATTTACTATGACATTCATCTGTTCAAGCAACAGATTTTAGGCATCTACAGAAGGTATAACTGAAAATGAAACGTTTTGGACAATTTGAAGCTCACAATTCAGATTACATCATTTATGGCATTGGTTATATAATTATGGTTGTTTATGATGTGGGGTTATTTTCCTTAAATTATAACAGCTACAACCATGTATATCAAGTATTTCTACTGCAAAGTAGGTAGAATTATTTGGTTTTACATTAGTTATGGAGGTTTTTGGTTGTGTTTTGTTTAAAGGTAAACGTTGACTAAGATTCCTAATTAGCAGTGTATTTAGTGCTTGGGTATCTGTGAGGTTTTATTACTCTGCTAGTTATCAGAAGCTGTGATTTTAATATTAATCAGACAAAACCACTCACTTCTCAGCCTTTTAAGTTGAAGTGATTGGACTAAATGGGATTTTAGGCCATTGTAACCAAACTCTAGGCAAAGATGAAATTTTCAGCTATCCTCATCCACAAAGGAAAAAAAAACGCTAGTGGGTTATTGATTCGAATTTGATTTTTATTATAAGATTATTCCAACTTTTATGGTATTGAAGTATCCTTTCTTTTATGAAATATTGTTGATATTAGTATTAGTTGCTTTACATATCTTTAAAATAAAAAGTTGGCAGCCCTGTATTGGTCCCTACTTTTTTTTTTTTTCCCCTTATATAAACTGTTTTGTGAAATCTAGAAGTTTGGGAACCATTAAGCCAAGGTCCTCTCTAAAGTTCTGAGACTTATTAATTATTAAGGTATAAAATAACATGGTTTTACTGATTTTGATATTTAGTTCATATATGTGAAATTTTTCATATATGATTA